ATGCTAATAACTTCATAGGATGCTTACATTATTTGAATTTCATGTATTTTACCTATAAAACAAAAGCAAATCATCAAACAAAAATGTAGAATTTTATATTCAAAGCCTCTCACAAGCCCTAGCCGGTTTTGCTCAGTGGATAGAGTGTTGGCCTGCAAAGCCTCTCACAAAAGATTCTTAGTAGTCTCCTTATACATTTGAAATAAGTTACCCAGGCGCCCGGCTAGCTCAGTCGGTAGAGCATGAGACTCTTAATCTCAGGGTCGTGGGTTCGAGCCCCACGTTGGGCGATTCCTTTTAGGGCAAATTCTTTTGCTTCCAACGGTTTACCTAATTGATTTCGTGTCATAGTACCTTGGAGCGGTTCCCTATGGGCGCCCGGCTAGCTCAGTCGGTAGAGCATGAGACTCTTAATCTCAGGGTCGTGGGTTCGAGCCCCACGTTGGGCGAGCTCTTTTGATCTACTTCCTACGCTTTTAAAAGAAGACGTCTTTCACTGCTGTCCAATGAGAAAGTTTTAGAGCCCAACTCTGGGGGGCTGCTACGGTTCCTGCCTCTGGGAATGCCTTTCTCTGGTTTTTTACTTGGTCAAGTAGGGCATTTACTCTATATAGTTAAGCTTCTTGGATGCGAAAGAAGATGCAGACATGTTTGGGAAAGGTGGAGTCTGAAGGTGCACAAAACGATCCACAGGGAACAGTTTGACAGGCAGAGGCTCAGAGGAGGCAAAATCCATGGAGAGTGTTGAGCACGTGTCGTTATGGAAACATGGAAGACGCATTTTTTATTACCATTGCCCCCCACACCTTAACGGACCCAATAGATAATGCCGTTTCCCACCTTTCTCCCTTCCCTATGGCAAGTAAAAGAACCAAGTAAGCCACGACGGGCTGTACTTGCCTACAAAATAACATCGAAAGGGTTCTGAGAATTCAAACTGCGTCTCTACCCCCGACTCCCAGTGTCCAGACATTTGCTCACTTCCTTCGCACCAGGCACCCTTTTTGCTCGAACAGATCCACGCTGGCTGTGGGCCAGGTCAGGTCAGCCCTGCACTTCGCCAGTACTATCCCCGATGAAGCGAATGTGGCTGTTGTTAGAGAGTGAGTTGAAAATCAGTCCCTTGGTCAAATTGGCCGAGACTTTTTGACATTCCCCCGTCTCTCTGTGAAAATCCCACTGCACACGTCTTCCTTTATTGTTCCTTGGAAGCTTTCGTACGTTCATTGGTATGGGTTTCACCAAAACACCCAGGACAACGAGAAGAGAAAGTGGACACATACACCTTTTCATTGGTTCTAAAAGCCAGATTCACCACACACCTCCCTCTGGCTTCACTGACGCTGTTCGCATGTCCTCCCAGGCCTCGGGACGACGCGATGGAAACGCCTGCGTTTGGGAATCCCAGTCTGGCCGAGCATGTGAATCACCTGGGGAATTTCTAACATTTCAGATTTCTGGGCTCTCTCTCACACACGGCCAATCTGAGCCTGGGATGGCTTAGAAACCGTGTTTGAAGGGGGGATACCGATGGCATGTGTAGACTTTGCCACAGGGTGTGCACGCCGACGTGTCTGAAGAGGAAAGTCATGATTTCTGCAACTTACTTTCAAACGTTACAGCTCAAGGAATGCGTGCACGCACGAAAAAGAGGGGAGGGGGAGGGTAAGGAGAGCGACAGGAGGCAGGGCCTTCTCTCCTTCCAGGTTCCCACGTTCTCCTGGGTCCCCAGGAGCGGACCTGTGACGGTCCGGGCCCGCTAATCCAGGACGCGGACGCGCCAGGTCGCGGGCACCGGAGCGGAGAGCGCAGAGTTGGCACCCGCGGAGGGAAGCTCAGCACCGCGCTTCCTTCGATAGCTCAGTTGGTAGAGCGGAGGACTGTAGCGGTGGCTCCCAGGCATCCTTAGGTCGCTGGTTCGAATCCGGCTCGAAGGAACCAATGTTTTGCGCCGACTTTTTTTTCTTCTTCTTCCTTTTCCATCCCCAATTCTTTAATTCCTGGGTGGGCATCCATCTGACTATCTTTATTGTGCAACGAATCTATGTTTTTATGTCTTTATTCTCCATCACCGTGAGATCAGATACGCGCGATCAGCTGTCAGCCCCGTCATTCGCACACTGCCGGTGCCACAGGGAAGTCCGGAGCCCCGGCCGGGCGTCCAGAGCCGCGAATCCGCTCCCCGAGGGACCCGGAGCGGGAGGGGCGGGATGGAGCGGAGGACCGCCTGGCTGACCCGCCGACCGCGGGGACCGGGTGGAGCACGCGCGCCCCCTGGTGGCCAGAGAGCCAGGAGCCTGCGGAAGGATGTTCTCGGGGGACGCGGCAGCCCTGCCCGCCGGGGGGCGCCCCGCCCGCCGTGGGGCCCCCTGCGCTACGCCCTTCAATTGGGCGATGGCGGTTCTCAGCCTCCGCCGGGAACGGCTGGTGGACGCCAGCATCACCGGGAGGCTCGGGCCACTGCGGGGAGGCCCCTCGCACTGGTCGTTTTCAAAGCTCCCAGGTGATCTGAACGTGCTGCGAGGTTTGAGAACCTCTGGGACAAGAGAAACAAATATTTTAGAAGAAAAAAAAAGAGAGAGAGAAATCAGTACGATTGTCTGCCCGCTTTGCGAAATACAAGGTAGAGATCTTTCTTAACAATAGAAAGCATTTCGTAATGTGGTGTCAATCTCATTTCTACCCCGTCTCAGCAATGTGACCCCGATGCCTGAGGAGGAGTCCTCTCTGTAGGTGAGAAAGGGTTGCCTGCGGGCTGTGTGCCTGGCAGTGTCTTGTATCTTTATTCTCAAGCTTCAGCACTTTTCATTCAAACCTGCAAACCTGAGAGGAATCCCAAAAAGTTGGCCCTCGCCTCTCCCATCATGCAAAAGAGGTGACCAGCAGCATCGGAGCTCTGGTCGCGACGACCGGGCGCTGAGAGGTCCGGAACCCTGACGGGGGATCTGTTAGTGAGAGGGTTTCAGCAGTTATTTTGTTTAAAAGTTGGAGAATGCGGGCATCGATCCCGCTACCTCTCGCATGCTAAGCGAGCGCTCTACCATTTGAGCTAATTCCCCGCCCTGCAGAATCCCTGTCCTTCCCTGACCCACTTTAATATTTGGAAAGAATTTAGATTTTTATTTTTTTTTCTGACACAAGCTGTAGTTGACCTGTCAGCCCATGGGACTGGGTGGACTGCGGTCGAAGGTGCCCGGACAGCCCCAGGACAGAATGCGGGCGCGGAGCGGGGTCCGGTCTGGAGACACTGGCGCAGCGCAGCGCAGCGGGCTCAGCGCGGAGGCGGCGGACACTGGACACCAGTTTATTCGACACGAATCCACCCGCGGACGCAGGGAACCGAAGGAGGCGCCGGGGCCCCCGGGAGGGAAATCAGTGCCTCGGGCCATGGGGAGGCCCTCACCCAGCATCTGCACCTTCAAACTGCTTCGCCTCAAGCTGCAGCTCAGAAACTTCCCCCTTGAGGTTTCCTGTTACTTTTAATCTAATTAAATTGGGGCAAGAGGATCAAAATTAAAACGGAGAACGTGGAGCATCTTATTTAAGGAAGTGCCTCTGTCTCTAAGTTCTGCCGGACCTGCAGGATGACCTTCCCAGAGCCCGGCAGTGTCCTAATGCTTGTTCTTCCTTCTGCCTTTTCTTTTTTTTAAATTGCAATCAGGGCTGACAAAAGTGGAAAACTTCCTGTGGTAAGAAGCCCACCGCTCCCACCCCATCTTAGACGAGAGTTCAGAACCTCGTGTTCTCCGTGCGCGTGGAAGCCCACCGTTCACCGCAGAGAGGCTACTGTCAGCCTCGCCTTGATTCTCGCCACCTCCTGCTGTCGCCATCCTCCTCCCTGGACAGCACGTGCCCAGCCGCAGAGCAGCGTGGCCTCCACTCATGTGCTTCTGCCTGTGGTTTTCCACGGTTCTGTCAGGCGTGCAGGTGCAGAACGGGAATGAAAGAAAGCAGCCCGCACCAGACCATCGCTCAGATCCACGGAGCTTTTTTTAAAAAAAGGAAAATTATTTTTATTGTCAATTTCTTTTAAAAATATACTTTTATTAATTTCAGAGAGGAAGGGAGAGGGAGAGATAGAAACATCAGTGATGAGAGGGGATCACTGATCGCCTGCCTCCCGCACGCCCCCTCCTGGGGATGGAGCCCGCACCCCGGCAGGTGCCCTTGCCCGGAATGGAACCTGGGACCCTTCCGTCCGCAGGCGGACGCTCTATCCACTGAGCAACACCAGCTAGAGCTCCACGGAGCTTCATCAAGGCTGGCAGGGAACTGGGAGTGATGGGTTTGCCGCGGTCCCCAGGATGAGGTCTTCACTCCCTATTCCCGGAGCACATACTGAGCACTGACATTTTACAAAGGCCGACATAGCAAACCTCCTTTGGGAAATTCAGCCTTCAGATACGAGTAACCACATCAGTGCTGAGAGGCAGTGCCGACGGGGAGCCCATTAGTTTACCTCCAGGGAGGGTGAGTGACAGGCAATACCGGTCACGGGAAGGACACAGGGAAACGGGAAACTGGTCGAGGGCGCCCTCGTGTGGCCATTGGCGCGCCCTGCGCACGGCCCCTTTAACAGCCAATATGGCGGGTAAGAAAGCCGGAAGGCTGCCGGAGAATGACAGTGCACTGTAGAAAACCGAATAAGGTGGTGCCTCCGATCCATGCAGCCGTGCTTCATACCGCCACCACATAAGACACTCAGCCACTCCCCAAATCCGGAAGAAGCCAGCTGCATCCCGCCGTTCCACGTCTCACCAGGCGTTCAGCAGGGTGTATTACAATTCCGGATCAGCCTTTTCCGGTGGGCATCTCTAGCCCGGAAGTCGGGCTACTTCCTCTTTCCTGAATCTCTGAACACCTCTCTTGGTTTGAATTTCCCGCTGAGCTGGGACCCACTTCCGCCCTCTGCACTAAGCCTAGACTTTCCATTGGTCAAAACCCTCATAGGCCCCACCCCCTTGCCGCAGGCGTCGCACGCAGCGTGCGTCCGACGGCGCGGCGCTTTACGGCTGTCGTGCTTCGCGTCTCGGCAAGCATGGCGGCGGGGGAGTCGGAGAAGGAAGAAGCTGAGCTGGAGGCTTTAGAAGAGAAAGACCTGAAATTAGAGGCGGAGGAGGAGCAGGAGGAATCCGAAGAGGCGGCTGGCAGCGCCAAGAAGCGGGTGGTGCCTGGCATTGTGTACCTGGGCCACATCCCGCCCCGCTTTCGGCCTCTGCATGTGCGGAACCTTCTCAGCGCCTACGGCGAGGTGGGGCGCGTCTTCTTCCAACCCGAGGGTAAGTGCGCGGGTCCGAGGAGCGGGGGGTGGGGGTGGGGGGTGGAGGGGTGAGTCCGTGGTGTGTGCGGGTCTGGTAGGGGCCGGGGTGGGGCGCAGCCCTGTAGCCTATCCTCGGAGAGCTGATTTGGGTTTTAACCTCGCCTCCGCCCACCCCTATTTTGACCCGAATTTGCCAGGTTGTTAATGCGTACAGCCTGAATGAAATCGCAGTGCTTTTTCTCAAAACAGAAGACATCCATTTGTCATTTCGGGCGAGGTGAAGAGACAGTCTGATCAGCCGCCCCCACCTGCCCGGCAGGCACTAACCGGAAGTGGAGTCGGGGCCTGTGCAGGTTTTAGGGCAGACCTGATTCAGGAGTGTTAGCACCCAAGTTAAAGGCCTTGCAAAGTGGGAAGCAACAAGCATTTATTTGCGATCAATAAGAAGAGCGATTCAGAAAGTACTGATTCAGGAGAAGCCCCAATAGTTCCAGCTGGTTTGCTCAGTGGATAGAGCGTCGGCCTGCGGACTGAAGGGTCCCCGGTTCGATTCCGGCAAGGGTGCGTGCCCGGCTTGTGGGCGTGCAGGCCAATCAATGATTCTCATTGATGTTTCTCTTTCCCTCTCTCAAATAAGTAAAAGTATATTAAAAAAAGAAGCCCAGATAGTCTAGCTCTGATTTTGAGACAGACACACAAAGGGTATTTATGAGAAAGGGGGACAATTGCATCAGGAGAAGGAAGGCATTGCTATAGGAGCAGATAACATCGGGATGCTGTTTCTAAACAGTGCTTTTAATTTTCAGCCTGGTACTTATCAGTCCATTAGTCATTATGTCTGCTTTCTTCTTATCTTTGCAGAGTTCTTTGGGGCACAAAGTTGTTTTAGGCCCAATCCAGAGGTTATTTTGCCCTGTTCAAACATCCAGAGGTTTGAGCCTAAACATATAAAGCAGTTCTTTGGGATGGCAGCTCTGGTTCCAGTTTTAAGTGGCTCCATTTATATTTTGACAGGAGTTAACATTGAGGAAGGAATGAGTTAGGCATAGGGAGAAAGGGTGGACTTTGCAGTTCTCACTCCCTTCCCTACAAAGACCTTGAAGTAGGATCCCGGTCTGCGGGCAGGTTTTGAGAACCCAGTGAGCGGCTGCTGCGCCTGTCTCCATGACCACTGCTCTCTCTTTGGCACACAGGTGGGTTCGTTCGGCGGAAGAAGAAGGCAGCAGCAGCCTCGGCCACGGGAGGGAAAAAGCGGTCCAAGTACAGCAAGGACTACACAGAGGGCTGGGTGGAGTTCCGGGACAAGCGAGTAGCCAAGCGTGTGGCCGCCAGTCTGCACAACACCCCCATGGGTGCCCGCAGGCGCAGCCCCTTCCGTTATGACCTCTGGAACCTCAAGGTGAGGGGATAGGCTTGTCTGCTGCTTCTCCCATCCTACCTCCCCAACCCCAGCCGGCACCTCTGTGACCTCTTGTTGGCCCTGCCCCTCCTGTTTCTCTCCATCCCTGGCCTGTCCTACCCAGACCTTTTTTGTTTTCCCGTCTACAGTACCTGCACCGTTTCACCTGGTCCCACCTCAGTGAGCATCTTGCCTTTGAGCGCCAGGTGCGCAGGCAGCGCCTGAGAGCCGAGGTTGCCCAGGCTAAGCGTGAGACTGACTTCTATCTTCGAAGTGTGGAGCGGGGGAAGCGCTTCCTTGCTGCTGATGGGGATGCTACCCGGCCGAATGGCTCCTGGACCTTTGCCCAGCGACCTACTGAGCAGGAGCTGAGGGCCCGGAAGGCAGCTCGTCCAGGGGGTCGTGAACGGGCTCGTCTGGCAAATGCTCAGGACCAGGCTCGCTCCAACCGAGGGCTCCTCGCCAGGATCTTTGGCGCCCCACCGCCCTCAGAGAGCATGGGGGACCCCGTGGTGGTCAAGGACTCTTGAGGGGCAGGGAGTCCCCTCCGTCTCCCAGCCCAGCCCAGCGTTCTGTCTAGCTGATAATGACTACTCAGGCAGACAGTTTGTTTCTCAGACCAGGAGTTTCTGGTGAGTGTCCAGATGTAGTTTGGGCCTCTCCTCCCCTCTCCAACTATTGCACATGCCTGGCTGAAGCACCTAATTCATGCTAGTAGCATGATTATGACAACTGCAGATGCCTGTTTTGTCTCATCTGACAACCCGTTGTCTAATTTAGGATTTACCAAGTCACTATATGAGGCTGTGAATGACAGCACGTACCAACGCGTACTCCTTGGCATTAGGAATCGCATAGGAAAGGGCAGATATTTAAGAAATAAATGTACAGAGGCATCATGGTGGATGAGTGGTGTGTAAGGGGCCGTGGGAAGGTATGATTCCAGATCACAGCCTTCAGAGATGTGGTCGTTTTTTCACCAACTTTTCCAGATCATTCCTAAAGAATGAACAGAAGTCTGGAAGAGCCTGGTGAACTATAATCACAAACAGCTCCCAGGATGGAGTGTTGGGTGGAAAGCAGTGCACAGGTGAGCGAAGCCCAGGAGGTAGTGGCACAGTGACCCCCTCGGGTGCACCTCGTGTTGGGGCTCAGACGGGAGCGTCGCGGACAACATGCAGAGCAGCCCGAGGCACTCCCTGTAAACCATAGGACTGAAAACGTGTCACCGTAACAGAAGTCTCCACACGGCCTTGTAGAGATCAGACTGGTCAGAATCCAGTATCCAAGCTGGGCAAATAGAGTAGTAGATCAAAGTTTAGCTAAATTTAACACTCTATAATAAAAACCCTTACAGTCCGATAATACAAAAGTTTCTTTAGGGGCATCCAGGGAGATCTTACTACACATCTCAAAATTAATTGTGAAACATTTAAAATAGTCAAAATCAAGAATGAATGAAGATACTTCCTATTACCACTACTATTCATACACTGTCCAAGAAATCCTGGTGATACAAAGAGTGGAAAAAAGGATAAAATTGCCCTGGCTGGTGTGGTTCAGTTGGTTGGAGCGCTGTCCTGTGCACTGAAAGGTTGCCGGTTCCATTCCCAGTCAAGGCACATACCCAGGTTGCATGCTTGATCCCTGGTAGGGGTTGTGCAGGAGGCAGCCAATCCATGTTTCTGCTCTCATTGTTTCTCCATCTGCCTTCCTCTCTAATAATCAATAAAAATGTATTTTTAAAAAAGATAAAATTGACATTGTAAGTATCATAATTTCAACATAAGTCTCCAGAAAATTTTTTTTGCTGGTTTGAGCATAACACTGTACATAAATGTAAATAGCACTCTGCCTGGTAACACTAGATCAGGATGCCACAGACATAAAAGACCGTGCACGGAAGTAGGAACACGTGTGCAATGGGTATAAAAGCTGTTCTATCAGGACTAAGCACTCAACCACAGGGATGGGTAAGCATTCACTGTAATTGTATTGACAGATCAACCCACATTTCTATCAAAAGGGCATGGGTGGAATTACCAAGAACAAAAGGGGGGATGGGGATGGGTAGGTAAGTTGACGTTCAATGGAGGTAGGCTAAACTATATGATCGGTATAACTGTCAGATGCACAAAATGTTGACTAAAGGGGGGTCTCAGCCACAAACCTCAACCCTATACATTTACCTCTCATGGCAAGGACCCTATAAACCAGAATGAGGAAAGCATTTCCTGATAAGTTAGAGCCATGTCTGGATTAGCCTGTCCACTTAACATCTCCAGAAGGAAGTGTTTCTTGGCAGGACCTATTGTCCTTCACTAATTACAGTGAAAGGGATATTTAACCCTTTCCCCCTCACCTAGACCTCTCACCATAGGTGTGTTCATGTTCTCATGATGCACTACTACTGGCACTTCTGCTCTGCCCAGGAAGTGGAGCAGGGAAAGTAGTTGAACAGAACTGAGCTGCTCTAGACGACATTCTCCCAGGTGTCTTTCTCTGGGAACCTGATGTGTTTAACATTTGGGTAACAAGGGCACTGGACTCCACATGAGTCATTAATGGTGCATTGGTAGTTACTGAATTTTAGCCAATATGGTCAGATAAAGCTATTACTCCTCCCTGTGCTGTTTATGTCATGCAGTGGGAAGGCTCTGAAAGGACCCACTGTCCAAAGAGCACAGAACACACTCCTTCCAGGTTTCACTCACTCTCAGCCTTAGCACCAGAATTCTAGATGGTCCATTAAATACCACCACCACCAGGACTCAGGGCCAGCCACATGAATATCCACCTTATTCTTTTTTCAGCTTTATTGAAGTACTAGAGGCCCGGTGCATGAAATTTGTGCGGAGGGGGGGGGGGGGGCGAATCGTCCCTCAGTCCGGCCTGCAACCTCTCCAATCCAGGACATCCCCCTTGCAATCTGGGACCGCTGGCTCCTAACCGCTCACCTGCCTGCTGGCCTGATCCCCCTAACTGCTCTCCCCTGCTGGCCTGATCGCCCCTAACAGCCTCTGCCTCGGCCCCGCCACCATGACTTTGTCCAGAAGGACATCTGGAAGGTCGTCGGAAGATGTCTGGTCTAATTAGCATATTACCCTTTTATTAGTATAGATAATTCACAGATAAAATTGTAAGATATTTAAAGTGTACATCATGATGAATTGATATATATTGTGAAAGGATTCCTGAGTATTTGCTTTATTCTAATACAAGTGTAGGGGAGGAAGTTTGTTCTTAGTATAGTAGAGACAAAATGCAGTTTTTCAAAACAAATGTTTATTTAAGAATTAAGGGAAAACAAAAACATTAAAGCATGGGAATACATTGAATACAAGTGTCTTGTTTGGTCTGAAATCTTGTAAGTTACTCTAACTACTTACCTGAGGTAGATGTAGGTTGGCACTGTTTCAAGAGAACCTCCATCCATCCCAGAAGTTACCTCCCAGTTTTGGTTACAGGCTCCCAAGTGGTCCTCCCCAACCTCAGGTTATGCTATAGGAACAGTAACAATACATTTCCCCTATGGTTAAAAGACCTCGGACTTGTTTCATACCCACGAAGTTCTGTGTTTGAGGTGGTCCATCTTTAATTTACTTGAAGACTAGAGACAGTCATCACGAGATTAGCTGAAAAAAGGGTCAAGTCATCCTGTCAATGATACCAACTCCGTCCCCTTCTGCAAGTTCTAGTGACTAACAAGTAGCCACAGAACTAATTTCATCACCACCATGCCACACACCCATACTATTTTAGTGTTACAATAATCAAACATAGACTAGTGATAGGCATGATTTTCAAAAGAAAAACAAATACATGGTGTGTGTTTTACCACACTGGGCAACTTTTCATGGTATAAGAACTATTTATGAAAACAAACATATCAGCTTGAATCACCTCCCAGGATCTGTTTACTAAAAGAAAAAACACCTTAGAATCAGATTCCTTACTATCACTATGAGCTATACCCACTGACCCTAGGATTATCAAGATGAGCAGCGTCATCAGGATCATAGCTTAAAGCCACACACAAAGTAGCCGCTGGCCACCTCCATGAGTCTGAGGCCAACGCTCCTGAGTTCAAGGATTCGCTATGATCGACCAGATCAACCAGACAGACTAGCAACAAAATATTTATTCACCAGTCTAGTCCCAAACACTGCAGAAATCTTAAGTATTTTTATTAAATGTCTTTTAATCTGAGGGGAAAATACCCTCAGAAGTGTCCATGTATAGATTCCTGGATTAATTACAGTACATCTAGAGAATATTAAATATAATAATTATTCTGTTAAACTGGAAATAAGTGCTTATTCTCAAACCTCTGATGAATTTGGCAACTACTTTTTCTCTCTAGCATTTAGCATCCTACATTCCAAGCCAAATAAATATCTTATATTGTGATTGCAATCCTTTCCCTGGGAATAAAAAGTATTCTCTCTTTTCTTCATTCTGGCAGAATGAAGCAAATGAAAGGCATATCATTATGGGACTGAATTTGCTATAAACAGCAGGATAATGGAGTGAAAAGAACAATGCTTTGGAGTCAGAATAGTTAAACCAAGAAGCATGGCTCCTCCATTAACTGCGTCATCGTGTGTTACTTGCCTGCACAAGCCTAACCTTTCTTCCAGTTTTCCATCAGCCATTCTGCACAGAGCTGATAAGGATATGTTATCATTCAAAGAGATGATACGTGAAGTCAAAAAAAATGTGTATACTAGCAACATCAAAACTGTCACCCTGGAATCTTCACTTCTGAGTTGAAAAGAGATGAATCTCTGAAGTGGAAATTTCAAATACCAGTGATACTCTGACCTTTTAGAGAAAGGAAATTTCAAGGGTGTGCCTCAACTCACACCAAGTAAAACATTGGGTGTTTTGCTTCTATATGAGATTGGCCCTCCAAAGGAGAAACATTTGGGGGTTCTAATCCAGGATAACTCCTCCCCACTGCTTAGTTCTTTTCACTACCAGCAAGTTTCCCAAAACACCAGTCACCAATCTGGCCAAGAATTTTTTTTTTTAAAGAGAGATCAAGAGGGAAAGTATTCTCCTTTCCCCAACAGTGACACATGCCCACCATCGGTCACAAGGGCACAGTCCTTTCTTTACTGGATTTCCAAAATTTAAAATAAGAGAAATTAAAGCAATCATCAACTAAGTGGTTCAGATAAAAGCATCTTCACCTGAGTTTCCCATCAGCCTGCTCTGAACAGCCCAAGCTCCTCCCACGACAAGCTTCTGGGTACCTAACAACTGTTTACATACTGACTCATTAAAGCCGCCTCCACCCCAGGGTCAGCTAACTGTGAGCACAGTTATTCTCATATCTATTATATGTACAAGGTCCACAACTAGATCTCTCACTAGAGCAAAATTCTCTGCAGAGTAGGTTCTTTGGGGCCCAAAAGTAGAGGTTTCTAGCAGGACTTTTTTCAGACTCGAGATATTTACGGGGTTTTCACTCGTGTGAGTTCCCTGGTATACCAAAGGAGCTGGTCATGGACAGCTTTTCTCAGGCGTCACAAGGGCTCTTCTCAGATGGCTTTTTGTGTTGTTCAAACCCGAGAAGGTTCTCCATCTAATGCTTTCGCCACATTCCAGACAAATACCTACATTTTCACCAATATGGCTTCTTTGATGGGTAAGAAAGTCATAGTTCTGTTGGAAGCTTTTTCCACACTTGCTAGGGTTTCTCCCCAGTGTGGGTTTTCTGACATCCAGTGAGCTGTACACAGTGTGTGAAGCACTGTTCACACCAAGGGCATTTCTTTCGTTGCGAATTCCCTCAGAAAGAGAGGAGTGAGCATTGCTAGGAAGCTCTCTCACTCTCTGCATCTCCAAGGTTCCCCACCGGTACGAGTCCTCTTGTGGGGATCACCTATGAG